GCTAAGGTGTTGCTATGCGGTTGCTAAGGAATTAGGGGTGGTTGCTAGGTTGTTACTATGCGGATACTAGGGTACCCACGGCCGTTGCCAAGGTGTTGCTCTGCGGTTGCTAAGGTACTCGGTGTGTTTGCTATGCAGTTGCTAGGTTACCCGGGGCAGTTGCTAAGGTGTTGCTATGCGGTTACTAAGGTACAAGTGGTGCTTGCTAGGGTGTTGCTATGCGGATGCTAGGGTACCAAGGGCCGTTGCAATGGTGTTGCTATGCAATTGCTGCGGTGTTGCTATTCGGTTGCTAGGGTACCTGTGATTGTTGCAAATGTAGGGTGCAGCTATGTGGTTGCTAGGGTACCTGGGGCGGTTGCTATGGTGTTGCTATGCTTTTACTAAGGTATTTGTGGTGGTTGCCTGGGTCTTGCTATGCCGTTGCTAGGGTACCCGGTGCGGATGCTATGGTGTTGCTATGCGGTTGCTAGGGTACGCAGAGCAATTGCTGGGGTGTTGCTATTCGGTTGCTAGGGTACCTGTGATGGTTGCAAAGGTGTTGCTATGCGGTTGCTAGGGTGCTGCTATGTGGTTGCTAGGGTACCTGGGGCGGTTGCTATGGTGTTGCTATGCTTTTACTAAGCTACTTGGGGTGGTTGCTAGGGTGTTGCTATACAGTTGCTAGGGTACCAGGTGTGGTTGCTAAGGTGTTGCTATGCGGTAGCTAAGGTACTCGGGGCGGTTGCTAGGGTGTTGCTCTCAGGTTGCTAGGGTACCCGGGGTGGTTGCTAAGGTGTTGCTACGCTGCGGTTGCTAGGGTACCCTGGGTTGTTGCTAAGGTGTTACTATGCGGTTACTAGGGTACCAAGGATCGTTGCTTGGATGTTGATATGCGGTTGCTAGGGTACCTAGTGATGTTGTTAGGGTGTTGCTATGTGGTTGATAGGGTACCCTGGGCGGTTGCTAAGGTGTTGCTATGCGGTTGCTAGGGTGCTGCTATGTGGTTGCTAGGGTACCTGGGGCGGTTGCTATGGTGTTGCTATGCTTTTACTAAGGTATTTGGGGTGGTTGCTAGGGAGTTGCTATGCGGTTGCTAGGGTACCAGGGGGGTTGCTAAGGTGTTGCTATGTGGTTGCTAGGTTACCTGGGGCAGTTGCTAAGGTGTTGCTCTGCGGTTCTTAAGTTATTCGGGGTGGTTGCTATGCAGTTGCTAGGGTAACCGGGGCAGTTGCGAATGTGCTGGTATGCGGTTTCTAAGGTACTCGGTGTGGTTCCTAGGGTGTTGCTATGCGGTTGCTAGGGTGTTGCTATGCGGTAGCTAGGGTCCCCGGGATGGTTGCTAGGGTTTTGCTATGCGGATGCTAGGGTACCCGGGGCGATTGCTAAGGTGTTGCTATGCGGTTGCTAAGGTACTCGGGGTGATTGCTAGAGTGTTGCTATGCGGTTGCTAGGGTAGCCAGGGCGGTTGCTAAGGTTTTGCTTTGCGGTTGCTAAGGTGTTGCTATGCGATTTCTAGAGTTTTGCTATGCGGTTTTTAGGGTACCCAGGGCAGTTGCTAGGGTGTTGCTATTTGGTTGCTAAGGTACTCGGGGTGGTTGCTAAGGTGTTGCTTTGCGGTTGCTAGGGTAGCCAGATCAGTTGCTAGGGTGTTGCTATGCGGGTGCAAGGGTACCCGGGGCGGTTGCTAAGGTGTTGGTATGCGGTTGCTAAGTTACTCGGGGTGGTTGATAGAGTGTTGCTATGTGGTTGCTAGGGTACCCAGGGCAGCTGCTAAGGTGTTGCTTTGCGGTTGCTAAGGTGTTGCTATGCAGTTGCTAGGGTAGCCAGGGCCATTTCTAGGGTGTTGCTATTTGGTTGCTAAGGTCTTGCTATGCAGTTGATAAGTTACCCTGTGCAGTTGCTAAGGTGTTGCTATGCGGTTGCTAAGCTGTTGCTATTCGGTTGCTAAGGTACCCGGGGCGGTTACCAATGTGTTAATATGCGGTTGCTAGAGTACCCAGAGCAGTTGCTGCGGTGTTGCTATGTGGTTGCTAGGGTACCCGGGATGGTTGCTAAGGTTTTGCAATGCAGTTGCTAAGGTACCTGGGGCTGTTGCTAAGGTGTTGCAGTACGGTTGCTTAGGTACTGGGGGGGTTGCTAGGCTGTTGCTATGGGGTTGCTAAGGTGTTGCTATGCAGTTGATAGGGAGCTGCTATGCATTTGCTATGGTACCCGGGATGGTTGCTAGGGTGTTGCTATGAGGTTGCTAGGGTACCCGGGGTGGTTGCTAAGGTGTTGCGATGCTGCGGTTGCTAGGGTACCCGGGGTGTTTGCTAAGGTGTTGCAATGCTTCGGTTGCTACGGTTCCAGGGGTGGTTGCTAAGGTGTTGCTATGCTTCGGTTGCTACGGTTCCAGGGGTGGTTGCTAAGGTGTTGCTCTGCGGTTGCTAGAGTACCCGGGGCAGTTGCTAAGGTGTTGCTATGAGGTTGCTAGGGTACCCGAGGTGGTTGCTAAAGTGTTGCTATGATGCGGTTGCTAGGGTACCCGGGGTGGTTGCTAAGGTGTTGCTCTGCGGTTGCTAGAGTACCCGGGGCAGTTGCTAAGGTGTTGCTATGCGGTTGCTAGGGTGTTGCCATTTGGTTGCTAAGTTACTCGGGGTGGTTTCTAAGGTGTTTCTTTGCGGTTGCTAGGGAACCCAGAGCAGTTGCAAGGATGTTGCTATGCGGTTGCTAAGGTTCTCGGGGTGGTTGCTAGAGTGTTGCTATGCGGTTGCTAGGGTACCCAGGGCGGTTGCTAAGGTATTGCTATGCGATTGCTAGAGTGTTGCTATGTGGTTGCTAGGAAACCCAGGGCCGTTGCTAGGGTGTTGCTATATGGTTGCTAAGGTCTTGCTATGCGGTTGCTAGGGTACCCGGGGCGAATGCTAAATTGTTGCTATGCAGTTATTAGGGTACCCAGAGCAATTGCTAGGGTGTTGCTATTTGGTTGCTTAGGTACTCAGGGTGGTTGCTAAGGTGTTGCTTTGCCGTTGCTAATGTACCCAGAGCAGTTGCTAGGCTGTTGCTATGCGGTTGCTAAGGTACCCAGGGCGGTTGCTAAGGTGTTGCTATGCGGTTGCTAGGGTACCCACGGCGGTTGCTAAGGTGTTGCTATTTGTTTGCTAAGGTGTTGTTATGCGATTGCTAGAGTGTTGCTTTGCGGTTGCTAGGGTACCAAGGGCCGTTGCTAGGGTGTTGCTATATGGTTGCTAAGGTCTTGCTTTGCGGTTGCTAGGGAACCCGGGGCTAATGCTAAATTGTTACTATGCAGTTATTAGGGTACCCAGAGCAATTGCTAGGGTGTTGCTATTTGGTTGCTTAGGTACTCAGGGTGGTTGCTAAGGTGTTGCTTTGCCGTTGCTAATGTACCCAGAGCAGTTGCTAGGCTGTTGCTATGCGGTTGCTAAGGTACCCAGGGCGGTTGCTAAGGTGTTGCTATGCGGTTGCTAGGGTGCTGCTATGTGGATGCTAGGGTACCGGGCCGGTTGCTAAGGTGTTGCTCTGCGGTTGCTAAGGTACTTGGTGTGTTTGCTATGCAGTTGCTAGGGTACCCGGGAAAGTTGCTAAGGTGTTGCTATGCGGTTACTAAGGTATAAGGAGTGGTTGCTAGGGTGTTGCTATGCGGATGCTAGGGTACCCAGGGCCGTTGCTATGGTGTTGCTATGTGGTTGCTAAGGTGTTGCTAAGAAGTTGCTAGGGTGCTGCTATGTGGTTGCTAGGGTACTGGGGTGGTTGTTAGGGTGTTGCTATGCGGTTGATAAGGTGTTGCTATACAGTTGCTAGGGTGCTGCTATGCATTTGCTATGGTGCCCGGGATGGTTGCTGAGGTGCTGGTTGGTTGCTATGCGGTTGCTAAGGTACCCGGGGCAGTTGCTAAGGTGTTGCTATGCGGTTGCTAGGATACCTGGGGCTGTTGCTAAGGTGTTGCAATGCGGTTGCTTAGGTACTGGGGTAGTTGGTAGGGTGATGCTATTTGGTTGCTAATGTGTTGCTATGCAGTTGCTAGGGTGCTGCTAAGTGGTTGCTAGGGTACCCGGGGCATTTGCTAAAGCGTTAGAATGCGGTTGCTTAGGTACTGGGGTGGTTGCTAGGGTGTTGCTATGCGGTTGCTAAGGTGCTGCTATGTGGTTGCTGGGGTAAGAGGGGCGGTTGCTAAGGTGTTTCTATGCGGTTGCTAGGGTACCCGGGGCAGTTGCAAAGGAGCTGCTATGAGGTTGCTAAGGTACTCGTCTGTTTCGTAGGGTGTTGCTATGCGGTTGCTAGGGTGTTGCTATATGGTTGCTAAGGTACCCGGGATGGTTGCTAGGGTTTTGCTACGCGGCTCCTAGGGTACTCGGGTTGGTGCCTAAGGTGTTGCTATGCGGTTGCTAGGGTAGCCTGAGCAGTTGCTATGGTGTTGCTATGCGGTTGCTAGTGTACCCGGGATGGTTGCTAAGGTGTTGCTATGTGGTTGCTAGGGTAACCGGGGCTGTTGCTAAAGTGTTGCTATGCGGTTGCTTAGGTACTGGTGTGGTTGCTAGGGTTTTGCTTTACGGTTGCTGGGGTACACGGAGCGGTTGCTAAGGTGTTGCTATGCTGCGTTTGCTAGGGTACCTGGGGTGGTTGCTAAGGTGTTTCTATGCTGTTGCTAGGGTACCCGGGGCAGTTGCTAAGATGTTGCTATGCTGTTGCTAGGGTTTTGATAAGTGGTTGCTAGGGTACCCTGTGTGTTTGCTAAGGTGTTGCTATGCGGTTGCTAAGGTACTCTGGGTGGTTGCTAAGGTGTTGCTATTCGGTTGCTAAGGTACTCGGTGTGTTTGCTTTGCACTTGCTATGGTACCCGGGGCAGTTGCTAAGGTGTTGCTATGCGGTTGCTAGGGTGTTGTCATGCAGTTGCTAAGGTACTCGGGGTGATTGCTAGGGTTTTGCTATGCGGTTGCTAGGGTCCCCAGGGCAGTTGCTAAGGTGTTGCTATGCGGTTGCTTAGGTACTGGGGTGGTTGCTAGGGTGTTGCTATGCGGTTGCTAGGTTACCCAGGATGGTTGCTAGGATTTTGCTATGCGGCTGCTAGGTTACTCGGGCGTTGGCTAAGGTGTTGCTATGCGGTTGCTAGCGTACCGGGGATGTATGCTAGGCGTTGCTATGCGGTTGCTAGGGTACCCGGGGCAGTTGCTAAGGTGTTGCTATGCAATTGCTTGGGTGTTGCTATTTGGTTGCTAAGGTACTCGGGGTGTTTGCTAAGGTGTTGCTTTGCGGTTGCTAGGGTACACAGAGCGGTTGCTAAGGTGTTTCTATGCAGTTGCTACGGTGCTGCTATGTGGTTGCTAGGGTACCCGAGGAGGTTGCTAAGGTGTTACTTTGAGGTTGCTAGGGTACCCGGGGCAGTTGCTAACGTGTTGCTATGCGGTTGCTAGGGTGTTGCTATTTGGTTGCTAGGGTACCCGGGATGGATGCTAGGTGTTGCTATGCGGTTGCTTAGGTACTGGGGTGGTTGCTAGGGTGTTGCTATACGGTTGCTAAGGTGTTGCTATGGGTCTGCTATGTGGTTGCTAGGGTACCCTGGGCGGTTGCTAAGTTGTTGCTATGCGGTTGCTAGGGTACCCGGGCGGTTTCTAAGGTGTTGCTATGCGGTTGCTATGGAACACGGGGCGGTTGCTAAGGTGTTGCAATGCGGATGCTAGGGTACCCGGGGTGTTTGCTAAGGTGTTGCTATGCGGTTGCTTAGGTACTCGGGGTGGATGCTAGGGTGTTGCTAAGCG